TCTCTCTCTCTCTCTCTCTCTCTCTCTCTCTCTCTCTCTCTCTCTCTCTCTCTCTCTCTCTCTCGCTCTCTCTTTTTCAGTCGCTTTCGTCATCGTGTTTAGACTGATGCATGATGATGAGCAAAGCCGCGCGCGCAGAATTGCATTTTTCTACACGTACGTAGCGCTCTAGATGTGTGTACCACCGTAATTACACAAGTCTTCACACCCGAAACCTTGGAAATAATAAGTGTAGTGGCATTGGTTCGCGGATTAAGCGGCGTACACACGCTGATCCAAGCGTACGTGAAGCCGTCTCTCTCTCGCGCGCGCGCGCGCACACACATGCGAGTCGATTTAATCGGGTAATCAGGGTCAGAGTGTCATCGGAATCGTATCGTCGTCTCTTGCGCGACACGGAAAAAAAGCCGTGAGCATCGGTTGCCTTAATTAGCGGGGTTCTACACAGGCCACGTTATCGTCGAGTTGGCAGAATCTTTCCGCGGGAAAATCGCTCTGCAAAAGTTATTTCTGTGTCCGGCGAGTGTTCTCGAGAATTATTGTTATCACACGTATCGTAAGCTCTTTTGCACTCTATTATTTTGTATTACCATCATTTCTACTCTGTTATCGTTCAGTGAACGGAACTTACATATTACTTGAAAGAAATATAATTTTCTATATTAGAAGAGCTATCAAATTTCGTACTTTGCAAGATAAATGTTATGCGCATTGAGAAAAATATATCTAAAAATAAAAAGATATTTATTCAGTGAATGCTAATGACATATTTACTTGAATCTAAATTCTTTTCTTTAAACGGAATAAACAATTGCTAATGTTTCAAGAAGATATACATTTTCTTGTTTGAGAAATATTTTACATCAGTATAAATAAACATGTTATTAGCATCCACCGAATAAATCTTTTTATTTCCTAGTTATTTTTCTTTCAATGTTCCATTGCATTTGTTATATTATTTTGCAACATTCTAAAAAGAAAAACACCTTAACACACTCTATGTGATATATTGAGAAAAATTAACCGATAAAAAATTATCGATAAACAAAATATCGATAAACTTTGAATCCGATCAGGAAACATCCAATAAGAAATACCGGTTTATAATTTGTTGATCGGTTTATCTGATGAAATGTCATGATCGGAAGTATCCGATTAAATTTAATCGGATATTCTGATCGGATATTAAAGTTGATGGGAAAAATATCCGTTTGTTAATTTTATACAATTTCTTTCTCTGCAGAGCTAAAACGTACAGCTTCTTTTCAAACAAATTTCAAATAAATAAATAAAAAAAAAAAATTCTCGACATCATTTTAATCACCGTGATTGCAAGATTCCAGAAATGCGATCGCGTCGCGATTCGCGTTTCTGCGCGCGGGCACCCGCGGCCGGACTCATGGCGTGCCGTGAGTTTTATGGGAAATAATGGGGTGTATTTTGGGCGCGGGCGGATCGTTGACCCCGGCAGATTTTCAAGATTCCGCGACGGCGGGCGTCGCGACGGTCGTTCGCCGTACGCGGGCACGACGTTCCAGAAACGGACGCCCAGCCGAGACAGGGCAAACAATGTTGCCGGCAATTTACTTATGGCCCCCGCGGGAGCCGTCGACATCGACTCGCGCGCTCGTGAATTTTACATTCGTCACGATCGATCACGCGAGACTCCGCGAATACGAAGTGCGTCCCGCTGCCACGCATCGGGTCGGAAAACCGCGACTGTCACGACGTTTTCGGCAAATCACCGTTCCATGTCCAGATCCACGTTCCGTCTGCGGAATAGTCGCGATCGCAGGCTGAAGACCGGCCGGATGCACGGACGACCGAGCGCGCAAGACACATTCGCGACGCTTTGTTTCGTGCTCGACCCTCCGCCGAGAGAAAAGTGTCATGCCATTCGCGACTATGATTGCATAGCGAAGTAATTATCGTCAGGGAAACCATTTTTGCAGTGGTGCTCCACCATTGAGACGGCGATCCTATATGCACAACTTTGTTGTTAAAAGAACAAAAGATCGTCGGAAATGAATATAATTTTATTCTTCTCTCCCTCCCCCCCATCCAGAATGGAAAGCTCACGAATTCTTAAATCGATCGCAGAGATTCGAGTCGAAATTTTAGTCCTACTTTGAACTTTCCAACTGTTTTCTTCTTAGTGATAACACTTTTCCTGAATTCGATCACAGAAAGCAGTTTCAAACGACGAGCTGTCAAGTAAATTTGACGGGTAGAAGGGATGCCTTCAAATTGAAGGCCAAATTGCCCTCATTGTCCCGGGAGATCTGGCGACGTAACGATTGAGTAATACCGCGCTCCATGGGATTCGCGTTGCTCATTGCCGGAAATCCCTCGATTGTCGCGGACTGCGACCTCGATCGCGAGATACTCGCAAGTCGCGTCGCGCGCGTGAATCACGAAGGAGAGTTCGCGTACGCGCTCGCCTGCTTATTCTGTTTACGAACAATGGTGAATCGACACTCGAGGGAAGCGGGCTCTCAAGGACGAACAGGTACGAGGATCTCGAGTCACGCTCGGGTTCCTGCCGCGGACGTCTAATTGCCCCGGTCGTTCCGGGGAGTAAGCCGACGCGCCGAGGTCTCGCACCGCCATGGGGTCGGTCGATATTCCTTGCCGTTGTAATCTTTTTGAAAATCCTCCATACTACACGGAAAAAAAGATTTGGTTGAATTAACCAAATATCTGGTCGAATATGAACGATCCAGAAATTCCGATTGAAGTAACCCGAATTCTGTTTAAGTTAACAAGATTTTTGGTCGATTAACCAAACATGTCTGGTTATTTAACCAGACTCTGGTTGATCTACCAAAAATCTTGTTAACACATTGCCGATGGATGACGCATAAATGCGTTCCTTAACTTACCTCGTCGCCAATGTGTTAACTTAAACAGAATTCGGGTTACTTTAATCGGAATTTCTGAATCGTTCATATTCGACCAAATATTTGGTTAATTCAACGAAATCTTTTTATTCCCGTGCACAATGTCGAGTAATTAAAGAATCGCGTTTCTTTCTCTTTTTTTCTCTCTGTCTATCCATCTGAATGTGTCGAGCAATTAATTTCGCCGGAAGAATAATCGTGATAACGCCAATCGGGCTCGGAAATTATTAACTAATCTAAGGCTCAAAGTTATTAGCTCATCAAATTGCTATTTCGATGTCCGAATTGGAGGGATTGATTGGAGGGTGTGATATAATTCCAGTTAAGTTAGAGAAAAACGAATGGCACGAAAATGAAAAGGTAAATAAAATTCAATAAAAATTAAAAAGTTTCTCCTTTTCTGAAATCCGTATTGATAGTAATATATTAGTAATAATATTAATAATTGTTATCTGAGATTATCGCACGTGAAACACTCAGATTTTTATTTCAGATTTCAGAAGTTCCAGTTTTTTAACTTATGATATACACGATATTTCTTAATATTTACGTATAATCACGATTTAATTGAAAAAAACTCATCACCTTGAATACAGATCAGAGTATCCCACTCGAGACGAGTCTTAAGTAATAACTATTAATATGCTTTACTGTCCGGTTGTAAGAAGTGGGAAGTGCCAGTGGAAATCTAAATGCGATTATTAAGTTGTCAAAAGCTAATAGCTGAGTGTGAAATTTGGAGTTAATTGATACAAGTGTCAGTCTTAATTTTGCACAGCGGGGTTCACTGACAAGCAGACAACCAGTAATTCATGTTTCGTGGGAAAACTAACGTTTCCCGTCAACTTCGTCTCAACCTACACAAACACACAGGCTGAGTCATTCCAAAGAAAAAGAAATATTGGCGGAGATTACAAATGTAGAACGATTAAACGCACGCGCGATTGTCCGATACGAGCTGTATCCCGAATGATATATCCTCGAGGATAAAGATACGTTCTCGATAACGACCACGGGAGTAGAAAGCTCTCGTGGCGTTTCGCCGACTTCCAGTTTTCGCGATTTTTCCGCGGAACGATCTTTCTTCATAGACAAGAGAGAGAAAGAGAGAGAGAGAGAGAGAGAGAAGAAAATCAAGTACGACGGTAGCAATGACACGCTTTTTCCCGTCGAGAGCCTCTCCGACCGACGTTTCTCCGCACCAAATCGTCCGCGTAGGGCTTCGGTTGTAATCACCGTCGCGGACGCGAATGCCTCGCACGTTTGTCTCGCGATCCGCGACGTTAAGCCCCTTACGGCTGCCCCGGCAGACACCCCGCTTTGTTTACGCAACTACAATGACCGATAAATAAAGGTGATCTGCACGACGAGTGCGAGCGTGCGTGCGATCCCGCGTCGATTCTCGAAACGACCGAAGCAGGATCGTTCAATTTCACACGGCGTCGTCAATTATTCACGTATCATCTTCGTCAAATTTATTCGCACATCGTATTGAGAAAGAGAAATGATTGGTCTAGCTAAATTTAGAGTTAATTGCGGACCAGAAAAAAGACAGATGTCTTTGGATATTTTCAAATGACATTTATTTTAATTACTATTAAGGTAAAAGCTTATATCGTTAAGATATAAGCTCATACAATTAAAATACGAGTTCTTATCATTAAGGTATAAGTTTATATCATTAAGGGATGAGCTCATATCATTAAAGTATAAGCATATATCATTGTAAGTTCATACAATTAACGAACTATTAAAGCTCATATCATTAACATACAAGCTTATATTGTTAAAATATGAACTCATACAAAGGTTTAGGCTCATACCGTTACAATATAAGCTTATACCAGGAAAGGAGTTGTGCAGTGACCGGAATGAGTGGTAATCGGAGAATGCCTGACGAACACGACCAAGCTTTTGCGCCAACCTAATTTGATATTCGCCGAGGGGCGGTTAACGTGTTTACCTCGCAATAATTAATTATGATCGCGCGCGAGTCGGTCGTTGTATCGGATCTCGCGGTGAAATTTGCACGACGAGCGGAAACACCGGCGCGATGAACATCGCTAATTGCAGTTCCGCGGGCGCGAGCGCACGATGATAAGCCGAAACACCTTTTCCGCCAGAGGGTAACTACCTTTACGGGCGGGCTTATCGCCGGTGGTTACGTCATCGCGTGAGTAAGTTTATCTTTATCAAGCCGGGACTGATCGCAGACCGGCTGGCATCGACTGTCACTGATAAGCGACACGCTCGCGTGTGTACGCGTGTATACATCGTAATGCCAATGGACGTGCGCTCATTATGCATGGACGTGACTCAAGCGACGTTTGAGGATTTATTGCTTAAACAAGAAATCGACGAGTCAGCTCGGCGCGACCCTTCTTTGATAACACAATTTTAGCGAAATCCCCTAAGAGAAAGCATTGATCGTCTTTGCGCCGATGCGCCTTCGACGTTCCCTTCCTGACCCTCGCATAATTTGATTTGCCATGGCTTTGTTGAGGTCTTCGTAGATGGAATTGCGCGAGATGCCTCACGAGTTTTGCATCGAGTTAAAGAAGAAAATTATTGTTCTTTGACAGAACTGAATATTAATCGGACGATCCAGCCGAATTCAATGTTAACAGAGAGACTGAATTTACTGCGGGATGCAATTTACTTTGCGCAGCTGGATGCAAACTTTTGAGACATCTTGTTGCGTTTAGAAAAATTATAGATGCTTAGAGAGAGTTTATGCAATGTAGACAAATTCAGAGAATTCTACGCAGAGAATTCTTTGATGTAACGTAAGTATATCTCTAATCAGAAATCACATCTTCATTTTGCAACGTTATATCTTAGGAATTTATCAGAGAAAAGTCGATTTTCGACCTTTTCTTATCGAAGACGATAGAGCATGCTTGAGGAATGAGAAGATAATTAAAGCAGCATGCAAAAGCGCAACCTGGGGATGATTTGCTGATAAATGGTTGATAAATTGCAACATATTTTTGTAATTAACAATTTATTAAACACGATGACACGTTAATCAACACGCGAACACGATTATTGACCAAGTTTGTCTTTCTGATTGAGCTTATTTGTTAACAAACACGATAATCAATGTTAATGGTAATCCATGGATAGTTAATACGCTCATTTTCTTTCCGTCACATTAGGAGAAATATAACAACTAATTAACTACAACGAAAATTCTGATAGAGCACAAAGAGAAAATTGAAACATCTTCTTCGTCCTTCGTTGTCGCGTCAGGCTGACTTTGTTGGTTCATGATCGAGAGTAGCTCAACTCCCTTGAGATTAGAAACGTAAATCATCCCCCGGCATGCGCTACTTCGTTACCGATTCCATTATACCGCCGACGGTATGCGCTCACAACTAAGTTCGACGCTCGATCATGCTTTTGCAGCCCACGTGGCGTTTATGGGGCGAGGAAAGGGGCGACGGCGTCATATATACGGTGTACCTGAAGAAGGTCCGATACCATCGGCCAACGAGGAGCCTCTCGGCATCGGTAAGTCATATTGTGAGACTCAATACTTAAAATTAATATTTGTCCTTTTCAAATTATTGAAATTTACATTCAATTCAGAAATCTCTTGATCTTGGATTCGAACCCGGCAACTACAGGAAAAAACGCCTCGAAAAGAGCCGCACGGAGAAAAATAATTTTGCTCTTTTAGCAAAATCGTCGTTGCTACTGCATATTCATAGTGACAAAAAAAATTTAGTTGACGTAACTAATTTTACAAATTATTCGTTATCAGAGCAGAAATAGTTTCGTTGTCAGGATAGAAAAAATTTGTTGAATATATTTGTCCTAAGAATCACGTTAATTTGCTATCGATGCAAAATAATGTATCCTTGGCAAATTTATTTGTTATTGGAGTAAAACTGCAACTGCTTATATAAATCGATCATGGTTCTTATAGCAAAATAATTTATAGATTCAGCAAATTATATCCAGCAAATAGTGATTAATACTTTTAGCAAGTCTTTTTACTGTCCATATAATAACGAAAAGATTTTGCTAGATCAGCAAAAAATTTGCTGGACCAGCAAATTATTTTTCTCCGTGCAAGAAATTTGTGAAAGAGCGCGACCAAGAGTGCTCCGGATTCATGGCAAATTTCAATATGGAACTTAAAACGAGTGGAGTATCTCTGAAAATTATTTAGAAGAAGAGTAAAAAATTCGCGTAAATATCACGAGCATCTCGAGAAACATTTTTCAGTCAAACAAGCTCTCGCTCTTTGCGCGAAAAAATGATTTCCCACCCAAATTTGAAAACCTCATTTGTTAAGGTTTTATTCCCTGAATTTAGGATTCCGACGACGAAATCTCGCATTTGGAATGGGAAACGGTGAGGGTGCGATTCTTGAAAGCCGGCACGGTGCAGCGGCTGGTCGAGAGCCTGGCGAACGACGATGGCGAGCTGGAGTCGACGTACATAAATGTCTTCTTGGCGACGTATCGGGCCTTTACGACCCCGCGCGACGTGTTGGAGCTGCTACTTGCCAGGTACGACGCCTTGGACGATAGCACCGGCTGCGAGCAGCACCGCAAGACCCTCGTTCAAGCCCTGCATGTCTGGTTGGACGCTTACCCGGGCGACTGGAAGTCGCCCCCCAACCATCCCCTGCTCACCAGGCTCTTGGACTTCACGCACCGGCACCTGCTCGGCTCCGAATTGGAACTTAAGGCCAGACACCGGCTGCACAGGTTCCAGCGAGAGGATCAACTGGGTAATAATCGTTTTCGACTCGCACACTCTGATTTCTCGTGAACGGGCCTTCGCGCGTTGTCTTCCCGCGAGAATCTATTAAGCCTGATCTACAATGTGTTCTTTGTTTCCTGTTTCTTGTTTTCTGTCTTTTTTTAGTTTAAAGTTTAAGGTTTGAATCAGAAAGAGATAAAGAAAAAATAACAGAAAGCAAATAACACATTATAGATCAAGCTTTAAACGCGCGGAATTGTAGGCTCGCATAATACAACACGTTGAAGTCTATTATTTACGAGAGTTTGGACTCACGAGAATCTATCATTTGAAGTCTATCACGTATAAAGGAGAAATGAATTTGATCTAATATCAAAGTAATATGGATCCAGATCTATTTTAATGTTTTAAGCAGCATCGCGCTTCGCGAAATAATATGACGCGGATTTATTTGAAAATTTCTGTTGTTTCTCGATTTCCTGGTATTCACTTAAAAATTTCGCGTTTAGAAATTGCGAGAATTAATTTCTATTTGTTTTTGTCCAAATAGAGTCTGTGTTTAATCATCTATGTAAATTTAGAATGATCAGAGAGAAATCCTGTATTTAAACAAGTTTCAAATCCAAAAGCCTATATAATCATTGAAAAATCAATGACGTTTCCGACGATAACCTCAACGATACAACTTGCGAAATTTACAATGAATTCGTCGCGAATCACATTATTTACTGTTATATACATAGATTCGCGGTAAGCAAACAAACAAACGTCTGTCGGGATTCACGCTGAAGGCGCAGAATGCCAAACGGACGGGGGCGAGAGAAAAGGTCATCGTGTGAACTCGCAATATGAATCATAATGTGTAAAATCGCATGTGCAATTCCCGCTTGAGAAATTTCCGCAGCGAAATTGTGCAAAAAAGATACATCAGTGATAACGTAAGACGGGCCACCCTGTATAACCGCCGGATATCCTCGAGACCGGATCTTCTAACGCGTTTCGTCACGACGACGACGACGGCGGCGGACACGACGTGTCCTGTTTGTCTGCTTTTGCTTACTTGCCTACCGATGCAAAATAACTTGAAAGATGCATTTATCGCGGCGCGAACAGTTACGAAAGAATAATTATCGGGCTGTTCGGCGCAGAAAGGGTCTGCCGGCGTCAGCCGCAGTGAAAGGCCAATTGGAACTTGGGTGCACAAAGGCGTCTGCTTTCTGTGTAAATTCAGAGGGTCCCCCGGTCCCTTACCGCTTCGTATAAACGGGGCAGACCTCACCTTTCACCGAGCCTCGCCGTGGAAACACAGTAAACTCGACCCGGTCACCATATCCCAAAAATAGAGAGGATCTCATATGAACGGATGGAAGATAGAAAATGTGACCTGAGAAACCCTCGCGTTTCAAGCTGCTACGCGCAGCGCTTGTTTGAATATCGCGATATGACGATCGAAATCATCATCGACATTTTCCTATTTTTTTCAATCTTTTGATTTTTCAAGAATAGAAGGAGGGACTATCTTTTGAAAAGAAAATATTAAATTTGTCAGAGAATATTTTTCGAAGAATGGAAGTCGGAAAAAATAGAAACAAGGATATTCAGTAATCGAAAACAAAAAGAGAGAAATGAAAAAAATGAAAAGAAAAAAAATGAAAAGAAAAAAATGAAAAGAATTTACAGAAATGAAAAAAATGAAAATTTTTAAAAATGCTTAGAGTACATTTCATAATGATTCAGATAAATGTGTCGGAGGATAGATAACGGAGGACTTCATGAAATATACTTCTCTTTTTCTCATGAAAAAAAAGTAAACAAAAATTGCTAAATTTTTCTTTTCCTTGAATTATTTTTCCGAAAACGCAGTCTCGCGCGAAGGAGAATCCGTTCTCTATTTTCAATTCTATTTCTCAATTCCGTGAGGATTAATTATCGCGCCCTCGCCGTCATCGCCACGACCTACTACACCGCCACGTGTCCTGCTGGCTCGACTAATTACCGCGCAGTAATTGAATTCCCCGTTGCCTTTCAGACTCCTGCATGGTCTACGACAATGGTCGGCTACCTATGCGCGGCTCCCCGGATCCGATGTCGGATCACTGGGTGAGCTACATCTTCCCCGAGGTGCCGCAGCGTCACTTCGCCGAGCAGCTGACGCGGATGGACGCGGAAGTGTTCAAGAAACTGGTCGCCCATCAGTGTCTCGGCGCCGTGTGGTCCAGGAAGGACCGCTCGAGAAGCCACGACGCCGCGACAGTGTTGGCGACCGTGAACCAGTTCAACGCGGTTTCCCTGCGCGTCATCTCAACCATCCTAACGGACACGACGCTCAAGTCTCAGGAGCGCGCGCGAATCCTCGAGACGTGGATCGACATCGCGCAAGAGCTGCGCGTGCTCAAGAACTTCAGCAGCCTGAAGGCGATCGTGTCCGGCCTACAAAGCAATCCGGTTTACCGGCTGGAGAAGTGTTGGCAGTGTATGCCGCGTGAAAAGCACGAGCTGTTTCGCGAGCTCGAGAGAATATTCTCGGAGGAGAACAACGCCTGGACCCAGCGGGAGCTCCTCATCAAAGAAGGCACCGCCAAGTTCGCCGACACCGCCGGCAGGAGTGATCGGCATCTGCAGAAGCTCTTTCAGAAGCAAAATACTCACGCGGGCGTAAGTTTGCAATTATGTGCGCAGTACTTTGTGAGAGTTTAGTACTTTGTATTAAGGTAACATCGAAGGGGGAAGTTGAAATTGTATTAACCTGTCTCGCGAAGAGATTGAGGTACGTTGGTAGAGAACACGTAACAAGAAGAAACTTGGTTTATAAATTGAGCGGTGGTTGATTCGGAATTGCATCAGGAACTTCAAAATGCATACATATAATTTTGATAATGGACGATTTTAATAGTAAAAAATATAATTGGGAATGAAGATAATGATACGATCGATTCCATGCTATCATCTTCGTCCTGCAACCGAAACTAACGCGACTTCTATTAAATCCACAATCCTACAATCACGAACTGCTCTTTCAGAACATCAGTTACGGCACGATACCGTACTTAGGCACGTTCCTGACTGACCTGACGATGATCGACACGGCGATACCGGACACGATAGCCGACGGCCTCATCAACTTCGATAAGAGACGCAAGGAGTTCGAGGTCCTCGCGAGGATACGGCTTCTGCAAGGCGCGGCGAACGCGTACAACTTTAGCACGGACCCTGTGTTCGACCGCTGGTTCCATTCCGTGCTGGTACTGGACGATCGGGAAGCTTACAAATTGAGCTGCCAGATCGAACCACCGCCAGCGGGCAACACTCTCAATAACCGAAAGAAGAAGCAGGTCAGCGTCCATGAATCTAAACTGTTTTGCAATCCACTCCATGTACATCTCCCTGGCACCGCGTTTTACATCAATTAAACCGCGACTCGTGTCTTACAGGGTCAAGGCCACCGTAAGAATGACTCGATCGCGTCAACGTCCAGCTCCAGCAGCTCGCAGTTCTACTGCGACCTGGACTCCCTACCGAGCTCGCCGCACAACTCGCTGGACCGGCGCACGTCGCCCTCGCAGATGTCCAGCTCGTCTTCGAGCTCATCTTTGCCCTCTTTGGACGTGTCTTTGAGCTCTGGCGGTGGCGGTGGCGGCGGCGGCGGCAACAGCAGCGGTAACCATCAGACTCGACTGGCACCCCCGTCGGCGGGTGCCGTCGCAGCTAACGGCAGCACGCCCAACCTGGCCGGCCTGTCGAGCCCCAGCCACTCGCACAAGAGCTCACCGGACTTCTATATCATCAAAGTCACGATGGAGAGCGACAACGTGGAGACGGACGGCGTGGTGCTGTACAAGTCGATAATGCTGTCGAACAACGAACGCACGCCGCAAGTGATCCGCAACGCGATGCTGAAACTCTGCCTCGAGGGTAGTCCTGACCAGTACACCTTGGCCCAGGTGTTACCCGACCGCGAAATGGTGCTGCCCAACTCGGCTAACGTCTACTACGCTGTAAATACCGCGCACAACCTCAACTTCATACTGCGACCGAGGCGGGAGCCGAACGACGCGATGTCCGACAGTCCCAGGAGCAAAGGCAGTCACAAACGGTAGTCCCAAATTTTCGCCTGACGTCCTAAAGAAGCCGCGGATGTGCGCGTCGGCTGATCACCGGAAGTCTGCTCGACGCGATATAGGAGAGAGACTAAATTCCGGACAATCGCGAATAATGACGCGACAATTTGGACGCGAAACGAGAGTGCGATTCGGTGTTCTGTGAGAAAGACTGAGGAAGAGAGAAGAAGAGAGAAGGAAAGAGAGATCGAGGGTTGAGATCGAGGTGATTGCGATGCGAACGCGATGTGTGAATGGTGTGTACTCTTTGGTGATGAATCTGATATTAATGCTGCAATTCTAAACAGAATCGTAAGATTCGTAACTTATTCTTGCAAAATTCGTAAGAACTTATAAACAGATCTACAATTCTATGTATATCGTACGATCACTCGTAAATATCTACGATTTCACATAATTTAAGATATTTACAAGTAATTGTACAACATATGGTATGCATAGAAATGTAGATCTACTGATAAGTCCTCATGGATTTTATGGGAACAAGTTACGAGACTTACGGTTCTGTAGAATTGTGGCATAAGTTACGATACTATGTAACATAGTACTTTAAGCGCTCATCAACTGTTAATTTGTTCATATTCAATTGTTAATCAATCGACTGTTGGTCCTTCTTTTGAGGAAAAACTAAACGAGTCGCTCAACGTTACGCCATCATCTAGCGATATCGATGGCAAAATATCGTATTAATTACTCATATTAATCATGGCAGTGCTGTGAAAGTCTCGCCGGTGAAACAGACCGATTATGTAACATTGTATTATAATATCACAGTATTCAATGTTAGATTCACAGCAATACGTTTCATTACGATAAAAAGAAGACAATTATTTATTCAGCTGCTTTCACATACACGATTACGAAGAAGTCAATTCTCGCGCTGTCAATCGTCGCAATCACCTCAATCGCACGCATACACCAAGCTTCAATCAAGCCTGACATTCATCAGGTTCCAAGGCTTGCTGATAATCTCTAGTCATTCGCAAATCGTCTGGATGCAAAACACAATGCGATATGATACGTCAAGATGACAAAACGGCTGAGTAATCAGCAGTCATTTGATTATTTAGTCGACGTGAACGACTGGAAGCTATTAGCAGGCTTGAGCCGCTGAATGCTTTTCGGAGCTTCATTGAAGTCGAGCAACGTTAAGCACGGCCGAAGAGAGCAAAGCGGCGGGAGACTCGGGATCTCGCGTTAATATCGTTTAAGGCCACCATGACAACTCGGCTGTCTCCAGCGCGCGACGACGACAACGACGACGACGAGTGCGTGATCGTGCGACCAAGCCGAGATATGATTAAGCTCGTTTACACTCGTACGACCGGAAGTGCGTATACGGACGTACGCAGGCACACAGGCGGGCAGACACACGCAAAAAGTACACACATACACACATACACACATACTCGTGCACTCACACGCGAGCACTCACACGCACGACTCCGTATTCGGACTCGACACGGTTGCGCAATCGAGCGGAGCTGTTCCAAGAGTTATAGCTAGGCGCGTCCAGCGTGAGTCACGCGCGAGGTTCTTATCGGCTCCATTGTGACGCAAACGCAGCAGGGAGCGCGGGAGTTTTCCTCGTGGGTTCGTATTTAGCGTCAGAGTTGTCCGCCTGACGTTGCGCGAGCGATCGATCGGCCGGAGTATCGATCGAGACCGGGGAATGAGGTAATCCGCGGATTCGCGATGATGACATGCTCTTCTTTCGCAATTGCCGCGCGAAACAGGCGCTCGAATTTCAGCGCTGTGACAAGCGCGGACGCAAAAGAGAGCGAACCATTTGTGTCCGAGAATGCGCCACACGTAATGACATTGTAATGATTAATCAGATGATGCTCTAAGACGGTGATTGTAGCGATCAATGTAATCAGGGCTTGCCGTTTCTATTTGGTGTTGATCCGCGAAAGAGTTGCGTTGAAGCGTCAAGTCGACCCACGCACGTCAAGTCGCGGAGTAATATTTGCTCGACATGAAAATCACGTCCACGATGATATTACGAAATGATAATAGTACGTTGCAACCACGTTTGATGATGGTTCGAGATTGTCCCCTCTCGCGCTCATAACACACGTGATGAGCACGCGTTCATTAGTCGTTAAGTATGGGTCGAGCGTTTGCGACGGAAGAACCTCGCGCGTGTGCGTGTAATATACATGTGTCTCGCGACGTAACGAGATTATAGATTAGAAGGAAGAAGAGAATTAACGGGACAAGCGAGAGCGAGCGAGCGACCCGTCGTCAAACGGGTCGTTGTGATTTTTGTAAATAATTGTAATTGCGTAGAGCGCGTGGCGAACTCGACCAAGAAACGGGCCCACCGCCCCTCCCAAACGGGCCCTGGCGAAAAAATTGTCAATTATTATTGTTATTGTCTCTCCTCTCTCGTGCTAGAAAGTGAGATCTCCGAGAAATTATTGAGGCCGCCTCGTCCCGACATTCAGGCCCGTATTAATAATCATCATCTGAAGCTCGTCTCATATGAGACGAGAGAGATATCAGTCCCGTATTAATAGTCGTTATTTGAGACTCTTCTCAAGTGAGATACTCAGATTTGAGTTCAGGATGAGAGCTCAGTCAAATCGCAATTACAGAGATACAATGTATCGTATAATTGGACTGAAAAATCTGGGTATAATTCGAAGTAAAGGTCCAAGTATCTCAAGCTTCAAGCAACGACTACTTTATACGTCCCTGAGATTTTCACTCAGAGTCCAAGTTTTTCGAATTACGATATGTGATTTAATTAAAAAAACTTTCGTCCAAAAAAATCAAGTCTGAAGTCAAGTCTGAGAGTCTCGCTTGAGACGAGTCTCAAATAATATAACTTTATTGATACGAGCTTCAGTTCTTTCGATCGCGAATTTGTTCACGCGAGAGCAAAGCAAAAATTCTGTGATAGAGGAATCTCCTTTCATTTGTCGACTCCTCGCGACGAGATCGAGAGATTAACCGCGAGCGAGGTCGGGCGAGTCTGATAAACATTCTATTACTTTTTTAACGGAAATTATGTTTAGCGCCGAAGGTGGTGGACTTTTCATTTTGCTACGGATACACAACGGGTAGGAAGAAATAATTAATAGTTCTCTTGTTTTTGTTTTCTTCCAGTCGGTCGTTGATTGTCTGTTACTCGATTATTTTGGCCCAGAGAAATGTCAGGAGTGGAGAGGAATATTGATTGTAAAATTACGCTTTTCTCTCCGATTTTTTTTCTATTTTCTCGCCGATTGCTTGTTATTCGAACCGAGATTAAATAGCAAGAAGGCTGTCCGTGCAGACTTACAGGATTTCGCGGGAAATTGATTAAAAACAATACTCGATTAGCGCAGAGAACCGACCCGACGGACCCGGCCGATCATTTCTCGTGACTGAAAAACAGGAAGCACAGAAGAACGAGGCGTGCAATCTGCTCCTATCTGTTTTTCCTCCTCATCAAAATACATGCGGTGTTCACGATACCGCGATCGATACTTTTTCATCACTATCGAGTGCTAAATAACGAATGACTCATTCGTCGTAGAAAGAGCAGGTTCGCCCGGTTCTCTCGCACGCGGACCTCCTTTCAGTCGCGTCGAGTCAAATCGAATCAAATCGGCGTGTTGATCGACATTCTTCACCGCACCGGCCGTGTTCTTCTCACACGTTTCATACGTTTCTACGAAACTTCGCGCAATTCTACTGACACGGTTGAGGAGAGAGCGAGAGAGAAGGCGTGCAAAAACATGTGGTCGAGCATCCCGACGACACTTATTAGGTTGAATAAGGTTTTCTCGGAAATATTAGTCTTACGCAATTTTGTACTTATTTCCGTCAAGTGTCCCTCCCCCCCCCTTTATTTCCCGTGTCCCCCTTTCTGCCTTTTGTCCCTATTTGTTTAAGTAGCTGTATGTTCTCGTGTAAATGCGTGCTCGCGCTCTCGAAGCCGTAGACGAGGGCCGCGAAACGCGACAACTAACTATTACGTGTAGCGCGATCCCGACAAGAAGTGAGAGAGAATAGATGGCCTACACTTTTACAGTCGTGTGTTTTTATCACCAACGCAAAACGCGCCTAGCAAGATATACGCACACACACGTACAGAGACATCATCGCGCACGGTCGTAAAACGAGCGTGATGATCCGGCGAGCCGATACGATCTCCCTAATTCAACCCTATTTCCCGCCGCCTCTTGCTCTTTTTATTACACGGTAACGCTTACGACCTCGTGGAACGCGCGACTCCTCTCCGCCGGGGAGCGGAGCTTCCGGTGGCTCTTTTCCCTCACCGGCTTCGTCGCCGGTTCTATTCGTAAGATACCATCGGCTATTCTGAACCACCCCCTTCGCACGGCTGGAACTATATATACACACGCACACATAGAGGGACGGAGATGACGGAGTGTGTCTAAAAACGGTGGAGAGTGAAACCGCAGGTATTTCGAGATCGCTCTTGACGGCCGAGAGGGTTAAAGGTTAACATCGCGTGAATCGTGCGGGCAGACATAACAGTGTTATCTCCGTGACGGCCATGGCGGGAGGACGAGATGGAGAAATACAGATAGATAGATAGATAGATAGATAGATAGATAGATAGATAGATAGATAGATGGATGGAGAGGAACATAAAGGACCTCCAGGTCCTTCACGCCGGACGAAAGGTCGAGCCGATCGGTATCGGAGGCGAGACTTCACGTGGCTGACGAGTGGACTTCCGGCGTGTCGGCCGACACATCCGGCACGCGAACCTGTTGATCTCGGTAAGGCGCGAGTACACCAACTTACCGATAGGTAGACTTGCGACCAGGTGAGGTAACGGGACCAATGCCTCGAGCAACGCCAGGAGGATACCGATCTCGTTGTTTCATCTTCATGAGAACATTTTATAGCGACATCGTTCTAATGACGACGTGATTCAAGGACATCATACTGGGTTAAAGGGTTTGGAGAGAGTACGGTTAGATAACTGTCGAAACGATGCACGAGTGTTCCACTTTAGCGAAAGAAGTGTCACGCTGACCAGCTCGGATACGTTGTGATATTTATCGCGTAGAACAGTGTCAGGAGAAAGCCAACGGACAATCTAAAGGAACTGTACATAATTCTACGACAATTATACTAAAACTCAATGAGAATAATTAATATAATGAGTATAATTAATTTAATAATTATACAAATTCTAAATTGCCTCCAATTTTAGTTTCATGAAGTCTATCCTCCTGCGAAGAACTCTCTAGACTAGAATATACTGAATGCAATAGATTGAAATAAAACAAAATATACTTGTTTCACTCTAACCTAATGCATCGGTGCAGTTCAGAAAGTTCCTCGAAATAGAGCAAGGTCTATTAGGTTAACCGGTCCCAACTTTTTTTCCAACGTGGTCACCACTTTATTAGACCATCAAGTAAGAGAACACACGTGAATTGAAAGGCCTTTTTTCCGTAAAAATTCAAAGGAAGAAAGGAAAGTTTCACACGGAAAAGATTTCAACATCAGTGTTCTTAGGACCTGCAAGTCATTCAGGTGTTGTTCAGGTGGATCCGATAATAGCGCTTCAATTGGGCCGACCTATTTTTGCCCGCGAACGGTTTAAAAAGAGAGAAAAAGAGAGAGAGAAAGCGAGTGCTGCGACCCTTCCGGCATCCCTCAGCCCCCGAGCGTTACATCGACGCGCAAAAGAGTCACCCAGATACCAGGCCTGTGTCGAACGATCGGCGAGCGAGCGACCGCGTCGCGATTGGTTTTACCTAAAGTGGTTCAAGGCCGCGCCGACGTCAGAAGTGGCGAGTCGGAGGAATTTGGATGCGCATTCAGGTACGAGCTTAATTGATATCGAAAATGAATTCCTGCTACCGCCGGCGAACACAATCCGGACTGTATGTTCGCTGTATGTTTGTGTGCGCGCCAATTATTCGCCCTACCGCGTTGTTACATTTCAAATCCCGTGACGTCAACATCGTCGCTGTCGAATGCGGCGTCACGGCCGCACAAAGATTCCCGTCCCGTTATTTCCGAATATAACTCTCCACACGTTCAATGAGCATCTTTGGCATCGGAATTAACATGTAGAACATAGAAACATGCAAATCACGAGATTCTGCAAATTTACATGATACAGCACACAAATGAGCCATAAAATTTTGCAAATATATGCCCACCACAGCAACATGTAAGCTCAAATTTTGCGAATATATACGAGATATAACGAAATGTAAAATAATACATTTAATTATACGAATAATTCAACAACGCGTAAATCAGCAAATTTTGCAAACATCGAAATAATGAAGAAAAATTCATATGTCCAGGACTCGAGGGAGATGTGTGTTCTATTGCCAATTTAACACGATCCTTATGAGTACGACGGCGCGAAGTATTGAAAAATTAAAACGTATCAGGTACAAAGACAAAAACACACGACCCTTTATCATGAAGCGCGGATAATGAATGGACGCAAGAAATTCGAGAGAGCGACGCTGAGATATGCGAGGACATCGCAATACGCCCCTCTTTGAAAAAGACGAGTAAGACAATCTCAGGCGCACCAATGCCGCGCTCTGCCGCGACAACAACCCCTTCGTCGCTCTTGTCATCATGCGCCGCCCTCCAATCGGCCACCGCCGACGACCCGCGCCTGTGCTTTCAGGGAAGTGACTTCCCTCGGACGCCGTCAGGCGTCGCGACGTCCGTCGCTCCCCTGATCCACCCCCAGCGAGCCGGTGAACCCGAGGAGGAAGCAAGCAACCCCCGGCTAGTCCTCGCGAGCCAGCGAGCCAGTCGTGAGCTTCGTGCCGAGCTGGGGCGATGCGCCTGGCGCATCGACTGACGCGCGCGACCGCAACGAGTAGTGCATTGCGCGTTGCACCGACGTAGCCCGTCGTCCTCGTCGCCGTCGTTGGTGGTTGTGGTGGTGGTGGTGGTGCGTCGCGATCTCCCTGCGCGCGACACGGGACTGGAACGAACAAACGACGACGACGACGCTCGCACGTGAGCACGTCGCCGCGGCCGCGAGATGAGAAACGTGAGTCACTTCGATCGGTTCACCTTCTGCTGTTTTTCGCTCTCGCTTTCTCATATGCCTGTCTGTCTGTCTATCTATCTATCTACCCTGCTGTCTCTGTCTGGCTCTAGTATCTCTTTCTCTGTCTACCTGCCCCGAGCCCTCCATGTGCCGCGAGAGAAGCGCGACGCACGATTGGCCATCTTTGAGAGCGCTCCAACGGCTGGTCGGTCGGGAGCTGCTCGCTTCGTGACACTCCGTGACACCTTCGTGACACCGCGAGGGAACGTCACGTCGTGGCCGAGCGGAGGGTCGAGTTGGCACCGGGTCCTTCTCTCTCTCTCTCTCTCTCTCTCTCTCTCTCTCTCTCTCTCTTTCTCTCTCTCTTTAGTTCAACGCAACGACGTTTATCCGGAGTGTAGAAAGCATGTACAAGCGATTGCGATTCCGCGGATACGCGACTCGTCGCGGTGTATAATTGGCTTCGCGCTCGGTCAGCCACGGTGAGGTCGCGCGGGTGGCAGCTGTTGCCTTGAAAAACAACTCTGTCGCCGATGAGTCGCGTCAAGCTAGATCGGTTGATTCCGCAGAGATTGGTCAGGCGATCTCGGTAGGCTCGAATCACACGGGGGTGTTCGCGAAGTAAACGTGACATCGCGCTAGGTATTTGCGCAGTAGCTCAGGAGAGAGTAAGAGAGAGAGAAAAAAAGAGGGAGGGAGAGGGGTACCAACGAGAGACTCGACTTTGTAAACTTGGATTCCGTCGTTACGAAATTAAAAGTTTTAATTAATTTTCGCCGAGCCTCTTGCGCGGTTAAGAACTCTCGTTGTCACGCCACTCCGATTCTGAAAATATACCGGGGCGCTTGGAGCCAACGACGCGGCGGTAATTGGCTCGGAGCTTGCGGCCTGGCATCAGGTGTTGCCTCGAGAGAAACACCGGTAATAATCGCCCCTCTGGAAGCTAAGGTTGCGGCGCGCCGAGCTTGGAAATCAAAGCGGAGCAGCTCCGATCGCGGGGTGGCTCGCGCGAGGTGTGACACGACCTCACGCGACTCGATGTTTTCCACCGATCCCGGATAAATTCGCGACCGATGTCGATCCGCGCGGTGTCAACATATGTCAGCCCCGTGGATCCCGAAAAGATGTCAGCGAGAGAAAGAGAAAAGAAAGAAAAATAAGGATACGACATCACCGCGAAATCGTCCGAGGACGATCCAAGCCGACCTCGTGGTACCGTTAAAAAATGACAACTGCAACTCCTCGTCGAGAAACCGTGGCGTCACGATTAGCTCACGACCAGCCTACTGTCGCTATGATTGCTATGAATCCCTAACACCGAGATTCGAGGTCGTCGCGCCTGCACCTTGAAAAACATTGCGTCAGCTCTGATGTCATTAATAACCTCTCATGGACGGCGTGCGATCATCACCCTACCTTCATGTCCACCGAGACATAACACCAACACTCGAGTCAGTCCAACTCGGCGACAGACCGACCGGGATCAATGCGAGCGCTCGAAGCACGTCGCGAAGAGGTTCAGAGGGGAGGGAAGCCAAGTTCGCGCGAGTCACCCTCGGTGGTTCCTCAACTATCTTTTTCGAGGGTAAGGTTCTGTAAAAGCTGGGGGCGGCCACGTATCGTCTTGCTCGTCGTCTTCATCGATCCCAGCCGGTCAGTCGGTCTTCGGGAAAATGCTGACGCCGAAGTCCGCTAAAAATTTGATAGGGTTAAGGGCGGTTCCTCGGCACGGCCTCCAAGCGACCGAACAAGACACAACTCGCACATACACCGACTCACCCTCCCTCCCTCCCTCCCTCCCTCCTTCGCTCTCTGCCGACTAACCGACCGACCGTCCGCCGATTACCTCTGCCCGCGCGCTCTCCTACCCTTCGTAACACTTTTCAGCCCTCGACCTCGTGGCCGAGGATCGATCCCCGTGACGTGCTGCGTGAGCACACCCTCGTGGAAAAAAAAGAAAAGCGGCCGCTCGGTCGCTGGTTAATAACTAATAACGATGACGGCCGCGTATATGTACATACACGACTACCCTCTTCCTCCGCGACCCTGCAAACCTCGACGTGCGCGCGGCAGTACGTATGTAACACGCGCTTCTCCATCCAGAGCGCCCGTCGCGCCGCGCTCGCTCCCTATCTCTTTTCCTCCCTGCCTCCCTCTTTCCATTTCTCTCTTGCCGTGCACGTCGCGTCGAGAGCACGTGCCACGTGAAGAACGGCGACGTAATCGAGGGGTTGGTTCTCTCGGCCGAGCAGCCAAACTATCTCGCGAATATGAGACGATAAAAGCGTCCTACACGCACGTGTAGGAGCGGAACGATCATCTTGCGACGAGAGCGTCGAGAGAAAGAGGAGGTCGAGAGGCAGAGGAGAGTAGGCGTTGCTTTTTTCTCGAAGGACTCCATTTTTCCGGAGTGCTTTTCCTTCCAGAACCTTGGAGCGACTTGCTTTTCTCGCTCGATTCCCGGATGGGATCCTTGCTTCGACAGGGGAATATCGAGTCTTGACTCGGGATGATGTTGGTAATTTCGAAGCCGCGGGAGGAAATATCGGGTTGAATCGAGCCGCGGTCGATGCGTCCATCAACGGGTGCCTCGTATAAAAAAAGAAGTTCGCGACCCCGGCTGTCGTTGAGCCTCTTTCATTCTACCTGATTGACCACTCTGAGAGGCTTAGACTCCTACTGCAGGAGAGAGAGAATTTCAATACGCCCCGAGTGACTCGAAGGGAGTCTCTGATGATGTTCGCAAATTATATAGATGCGCAACTGGCTCACTTGTTGTTTGATGTCGGGATGATTAAATTGTACTTTAGTGAGGCAAAGCTGCACTTCTGTTATTGGAGGAAGGAGTCTGAATGTACCCCGAACGACTGACAAGATCTCTAATGATGTTCGTAAATCACACAGAGAGTATTTTATAGTAAAAATATGATGTTACGTTATCAAGGCCACATTTATATTCCAGCAACAAAAAATGTGCTATTAAAATTATTTGTTATGTTTCCCGTAATTTTTACTATGTCCCTCGCCAAGATAAATCTTATACTGACAGTCTATTCCTACGCTATTAGAAATATAAAATTGAGAAAAAATTCATACGGGAAAACAGAAAAAAAAACTACAATATTCTTTGCGTGTATGGATGTACGTTATAAATTGTTTCTCGCTTATTGCTTGATTATTAAGATTATTAAGTTGCACTTCTGCAAAGGAAAATTGTATTTCTATGTATGTATAACTCGTATCTAGCTTTCGCAAAAGGGAAACAATCATAGCAGCTACAGCGCTGATATGACTCGCCTTTTGTCCGTGATATAGTTGAAGTTATCACGTTGAAGAGCGTGTGCTCGTTGGCTCGAAAGAGCGAGCTGTGATAATGGACGAGAGCTTTTCAGGAGCGGTGATATTTTTTCGTGCGTCGCAGAGTACGCAAGGAAACGCGAGGCTGGCGGCAAACACGGAAGCGTCATCGTCGACATCGGACAGTTTCATCGACAGTGAGAGAGAACGCGTGTTCCAACAAAAATCAATTTTTCCCAACAGCACACGTCCTTAAATCAAAAGCGAATCCGAGCCTTTCGCGTTGCGCCCTCGAGCGTAGCATTTACCATTTTTCATTAAAAAAGTAACAAAAATAAAAATGTCGATGACGTCCCGACATTTCCATCCACGTGCACAACAATGCGCAACCGAACGCGATCCGGAATGAGAAACTTCAATCGTTTAACCCTTTGAAACACAGTGGTTTTACCCAGTGAGATCACCCATTAGAACCAAATCACAGCTTCAGGCGTAGCGATCTCGCAACGAAACCACCGCCTGTGCACAGTGGTGGAAATATTTTGTTGCACAGTGATTGCACGGTGAAACCATCTCTATTCTGCAAAAATAGAATAATAGAAAAAATTGATTTCAAAAGGACGATCCCTTGAGTTATCATTCTAGACGTGCGACATGAAAATTTGGTTAGAATCCGAATTTCGAAAGTTCTGCGCTTCAAAGGGTTGACAAGCAAGTGAAAGAAAAAATACCGGCACGTCCTGCGCTATTTCGGAAATTAATTCCGCCGAAGCGATGGAAAAATGTTGCGCGAAGCAATTTTGTTAGCGGAACGTATCGCGCGCTTTCGTTCGTCACTAATTGCGCCTACAATTCGATCGTGTCGCGCAACATGCGGAAGTGTCTTTCCCGCTCGCGATCTTTTTCCGCGCGGAAATAAAACGGACTCGAAAAGATCGTCACACGCGAGGGACGGCAAACGTGCGCGGATATTCCTCTTTTCAATTCATCGCGTATCTGAAAGTTTTGATGAGCGACAGACCCGACGACGACGCCTCGTTCTCTCTACCCGGTTTTTCGCCGTTCCGCGCGCCCGCGGAATACATTAGCGACGCACGAGCGGCTCGTTCGTGAATGACAGATTTACACGGCGCACGTGGCACATGTAAACGCTATAAACGCGACTTGGACAGTTCCGATCTGTCCTGCCCGACCGCTCTCGCGCAGTGGTAAATTCTGAATACACGCGCGACAGTCACGCTAGCCGTCACGGGAAATTGGATTCGATCTCCCGCCGGCGGCGGCGTCTCGTTCTCGCGGTTTGCCCCGGGGATGAAATATATGCGCGAGCGTTACGTGCTTCTCGGGAATATCGAAAAATTGATTTCCCTCGCTGTCTTGCCAGTCGGAAAAATCTGTTATTTAAAAAAAATATACACGCGTGCGCGCACCTTGCCGCATGGGAATGGAAAAAATTGCGTTTTCAAAGGTAGAAGAGAGAGTACAAAGTTGTTGCCCCGAAAGAGGGGATGATTATGTTGATGATGGATGGTTATGTTGACAGAGAATTATTGGCCGTGATAAATAAGTGAAGCTATAATAATTGTTTGGAAAAATATGCTTTGGAAATCTAATCTCAGACTTTTAAGTTTCCATAAAAATTCTAATTAGCCCCTTGACTGTGGATGACGTGTATACACGCACATGAAAAAGTCGTGCCACCA